CAAGCCAGGCTGCAACAGTACATGAACTGTGAACTTCCAGATGTTCAAGCTGGTTTTAGAAAAGTCCGAGGAACCAGAGATCAAATTGCCAATATCTGTTAGGTTATCAGAAAAACAAAAAAGTTCTAGAAGAATATCTATTTCTGCTTTATTGACTATGCCAAAGCCTTTGACTATGTGGACCACAACGAACAGTGGAAAATTCTAAAAGAGATGGGAATGCCAGACCACCTGACCTTCCTCTTGAGAAACATATATGCATGTCAGGAAGCAACAGTTAGAACTGGACATGGAACAACAGACTGGTTCCAAATCAGGGAAGGAGTACGACAAGGCTGTATATTGTCACCCTGCTTATTTAACTTATGTGCAGAGTACATCATGAGAAACGCTGGGTTGGATGAAGCACAAGCTGGAATCAAGATTGCCAGGAGAAATATCAATAACCTCAGATATGCAGATGACACCACCCGTATGGCAGAAAGTGAAGAAGAACTAAAGAGCCTCTTGATGAAAGTGAAAGAGGAGAATGAAAAAGTGGGCTTAAAGCTCAACATTCAGAAAACCAAGGTCGTGGCACCCGGTCCAATCAACTTCATGGCAAATAGAGGGGGAAAATACTGGAAACAGTGGCAGACTTTATTTTTGAGGGCTCCAAAATCACTGCAGATGGTAACTGCAGCCATGAAATTAAAAGACACTTACTCCTTGGAAGGAAAGTTATGACCAACCTAGATAGCATATTAAAAAGCAGAGACATTACTTTACCAACAAAGGTCAATCTAGTCAAGGCTATGGTTTTTACAGTGGTCATGTATGGATGTGAGAGTTGGATGATAAAGAAAGCTGAGCCTGAAGAATTGATGCTTTTGAACTGTGGTGTTGGAGAAGACTCTTGAGAGTCCCTTGGACTTCAGGAGATCCAACCAGTCCATCCTAAAGTAAATCAGTCCTGAATATTTATAGGAAGGACTGATGCTGAAGCTGAAACTCCAATACTTTGGCCACCTCATGCAAAGAGTTGACTCATTGGAAAAGACCCTGATACTGGGAAAGATTCAAGGTGGGAGGAGAAAGGGATGACAGAGGATGAGATGATCCAATGGCATCACTGCCTCTGTGGACATGAGTTTGAGTAAACTCCGGCATTGGTGAAGGACAGCGAGGCCTGTGTGCTGCAGTCCTTGGTTTCACAGAGTCGGACATGACTGAACAACTGAACTGAACTGAACTGAACTACATAGGAATCATAAAAAGTACCATTTTGAATGGATTAAAGAGGTAAATGTGATTTATTGCCTCAAAACAAATGTATATATGTATATATGATGTTGAGGTAGAGAAGTAGGAAGAGAATGTATGTAACAGTGGGATGGGGAATAGGGGTGTTTATGGTAGTAAGATAGGCAAAACAGTATGAACTAGGACATAAAACACATAGACATAAAAGAGAAAATAGGCTTAATTACATCAGAATTTAAAATATTTATAATAACCCAAAAACAAAATTAAAAGGCATTCATATTAGGAACTAGGAGCAAATATTTATAGAATATATCTCATGCACAGGGTTGATATCCATAATATATGATAAGCTCAACAATAGTAAAACTTCAAAAAATATAAAAATAATATATGTGATTACAAATCTGGCACACTAGCTGCTGGAAGAGACTGTCAGCAGGATTGCCAGACCAAATGGGTTCTTGATCACTGTTTCAAGTTTGTAGCTCTTTGTCCAGAAATGTGCTGGACCAGGCTAGACTAAGCTGAGAAGCTAAGGGTGAAAACTGTGTTCATGCCTGGGTGTATTCTTCCTTACTCGGTAGTCATCCTGAAAACTGTTAAACTATGAGATGGATGGTGGCCCTACTCATAGGAGTTGTCCATGGCTTTAGTTTACATGGACCTCTACACCCACACAGCCATTTCAGCCTGACTCGTGTACTGCTGAAACCTGGAGGCAGCAATTCATACTCCAGAAAACCTGACCCCTACTTACTCAGATTCATCTTCCAAGCAGAAACACACTATAGAGGCTTTGGCAGGGTCTGATTATTGGACCTTCACTGTCCTAAATGATAGTGCTGATTGCTCTTTAGGTATTAATACTGTCTGCACTCTGTATTCTTGGAACAGTTTAGCCTCATATACATTATTCAAAATGTGGTTTGAACTATCTTTCTACCAGTCAGAGATAGATATGAACTCTAAGTACACACACACAAGGACACATAAAAGGTCAATAATCACACAAAAGGAATTTAACTCTTGCTGATATCAGGAAGAGACACATTAAGAGTAAGTATTTTTGTGTATATTTGAGTTACAAAAAGATAAAAGTAACATATCAAGGAATTGAGAGGATGTGAGCCAGCCAGTAATTTCATGAAATGCTCCTATTTCTTTAATTACAGCTATCTTTGAGAGGTTAACACTTGCTACCTGCATACCTTTTGACCCAGAATTTCAGTTTTGGTATACACTGGTTATATACAGAGTATTCTCTATAAAATACACAAAAATGCGACTTCCTTGGTGGCACAGTGGATAATAATCTGTCTGCCAATACAGGGGACACAGAGTCAATCTCTGGTCCAGGAAGTTCTCACATAGGGCGGAGCAACTAAATCTATGTGCCACAATTACTGAGCCCATATGTTGTAACTGCTGAAGCCTGTGGATCTAGAGCCTGTGTTCTGCAACAAGAGAATCCACTGCAGTGAGAAACACAAACACTGCAACGAAGAGTAGCCCCTGCTTGCTGCAGCTAGAGAAAGCCCACATACATCAAAGACTCAGTGCAGCCAAACATAAATAAATAAATTTTTTTAAAAGATAAGTCCACCTGGAGGAAAAGTGAGTCGTTTGCTAACCATTTCAACAAAATCTTTCTTTTAAGGATATCTGCTTCCTTCCTTCTTCCATGTCTTCATACAACCAGGAGGGAGATATGTGTTGCTTTAGATTCCATATAGAAGAAGTTATGGTTGTATTTCTCTTTGAATTCAGAGGAAGAGCCACTGAAAGTTTCAGACCCCCTCATGTTGCGGACATAGTGGTGAGCAGAATCTACAGACACTTGGACACAGAGATGGTGAGAAATACCTTCTGTGGCTCTCATCGCTGGAGACCAGAACCTGGGAGAAACTCTCAGGCAAAAGACTGAAAGCAGTGCAAGAGATTTACAAATACATATTTTGATTGACAATTCCTTGGCCAGGCTTTCTCTCTGGGATTTCTAAAGTTTAGAGTTATTGTGATTAAAGAATCAAAGTTTTGCCCAGTTAAAAGAGGCATCCACGGTTTTAACCAACACCATGGAGTTGCGAAGAGTTGGACACAACTGAGCGACTTCACTTTTACTTCTCACTTTCATGCACTAGAGAAGGAAATGGCAACCCACTCCAGTGATCTTGCCTGGAGAATCCCAGGGACGGCAGAGCCTGGTGGGCTGCCGTCTATGGGGTCACACAGAGTCATACAGGACTGAAGTGACTTAGCAGCAGCAGCATGCCTCCCCAGAGAAATTTGTATCATTGTGCTCAAAGTAGCAAACATGATCTTTATTGTTATGGTGTCTGTACCAGCAACCAAAAAAAAAAAGAAAAATTCTATACAAGCTTCTTTTTATGAAGGCAGAAGAATAAGATACTAGAAACCTGTGTGAATGTATTGCTGATTTTGAAGCAAACTAATGTACATGAGGAAAAGAATTTTTTTTTAAACTCACCTGTTAAGATCAGAGGAAGAGTTCGGCAACTGTAAAGAAGAATGCAGGTAATCAAAAAAAAAAAAAAGTTTGGAAACCCAATACCTCATTATGAAATTTTTAAATAAAAGTCAACAAATCTAGTGAAGAATAGGCCTTAATTAAACAACAACAACAAAAATCCTCCAAAATGCATAACAAAAAATAAGCTACAAATGAAAGTTAAATACAGTGGCTGGATTAAGAAGAGAAAATATCAAAAAATAAGTTTAGTGTAGACAGTGGGGAGAATGAGTGTCAGAATATTCTAGACAAAATTCCCTGTGTTTAAGAATAATCTGAGAAAACATGTTCTAGCATGGAAACTCACTGAAAAATATAAGATCAAGGCAATGAAATTGAAGACTTGAAAGGAACATAAGACCATTTATTGGAAGTGCATAAGTGTGGCTATGAAATTATCAGTGGAAGACAGGGAGGTTAAATATATCTCCTAGCAGAAATAAATCAAATAGGATCTCACAAAGATGCTAGAAAAGAGAAGTCTTAGAGACATAGAACAGAATAACATGATCCATTCAAGAAGAATCAGTTCATTCAGTCCTAGAAGTCCTATTGTAGATTCTGTGTCTACCTTTGCTTTTACTAAATATTGTAATTCCTAAGATATTTACAAGAATAGAAAGTCTTAGGTTACTTTGTTGGACAACACCAATACTTTCCTATTAGAGAACAGATAGACCTGGGGATATCTGGTGGCCTGAAAAGACTGAGGGTCAGCCTTCTGCCATCCATGTGTGCCCAAGGATGCTATCCACATATATTTCATAAATAAACTGAAATTATCTCTATCACCAAAATGTTTTACAATGTATCATATACATAGCTAAACAAATACCAAAATAATGGAGTTTGGGTGATATGAAGTCCAGAGATCACAGTCAAAACACACACAAATGACACTTGGAAGGAAAAAGAAATGATTTCACCAAAAAGACTGAAAATTAAATGATGACAGATAGTTCTAATATCTGTGCTGAATGCTTGGACATTCTCCCTCAAAAGCTTTACGCACGTCGCATGTTGTACCTTTTAGAAATGGCACAATAATAACATTCTATCCATTCCATCCTGCTGGGATTAGTCACAGCTATAACCCTGTCTAACCCGGTGACAAGGTCAGCCCAGGTAGAATTCAAAGATACCATTGTTATGACCCCCTTTATAAAGGAATCTGCCTGGCTTCTCCCAGTGCAGAGTTGAGAGCAAATCCAGAGCTTCTTTCAAGATGCTGCTGATCCTGCTCTCAGTGGCCTTTCTGGCCCTGAGCTCAGTTCAAGGCTCAGTTTCTGGTAATAATAAAGGGGGAAAGGGTGCTGAGACTCTGCTTGGGGCTTGGGGGATCACACTGCAGTGAGGAAGCTTGTAAAGAGGAGACATAAGTGAGAGATGTGGCTGCAGGCTGCTTAAGACAAGAGGAAGGCCCTTCACCTCCTCTGTGATGTGAAGGCCTCAGACTTAGCACAGCTGGAAACCAGCACAGAAGGTTTAAGCAGAGGAATGACAAACTGAGCCTTATCTCTGCGCTATGAAAAGTGTGCTGCAGAAAGGCATGATGGGCACAGATAAGTGCCCTCATGAAGATGCTGTGATAATCAAAGCAGGCAGTGGATGAAGGTGGCCTTGCTAGGGGATGCCTGATGGACGGAGGAGGTGAAGCCCATTCAGAGCTATTTCAGGGACAGAGACGAGAGTAATAAATCTCTGTGTCTACGTAGAGATATGGAGATTCCAGGGCACAGTGGTCTCATTTTACGCCCACCAATATTTAATATTTCAGAATGTTGTGCCCAACATGGCAAGATTGTAGCCACATGTTTACTCCTGGTCCTTCTACCTTGAGAAACCATGTTAATATAAGTAAAGTATTCCATAAATTGAGGGCAGAAGGACACTGAAACATAACACTGAAATATTTAGCACTTCACCTAAACTAGCATTAGGATTTAAGGGATTCTAGGAAGGACAAAAAGGCCTCTTTTGAGTATGAGGTTGATCCTCAGCACAGTAATAACCCTGCCATGCCCTCTTTCTTTTGCAAAGGCATCACAGGTGGTAGTTGAAAATTTATAGTATCTTAGAGTATATATACAGAGTGTGCCCTTTTCCTTAGAACATTGTGAATCCTGAAGGATACAGGCTCATCTTCTGCTTCTTTTCCTAGAAAGCAGCAGTGAAGAGTCTCTGGGAACCGTATTAGGTAAGTCGCAATTAATCTTCCCTCATCTTTCTTTTTTTCATTAGCAACTTTTCAGTTCTCCCATGTCCTGTTATCATCATTATCTTGTGAAGGTTATAATCAATGTTAGAAACACTAAAGATAAAGGCAGTCCTCTCTATCCTTGGTCTTGGGGACCATGAGTAAGGTCCTAACATGAATAACATGATGCCTAGCCTGGATGACACTGGATATGCTACCTGTCCCCTAAGGCCAGAAACAATGGTTGAGAGAGGACAACAAAGGGAAGGAGTCACAATTCTGATTCCTGCAGCTTCCTGAGGGTCAACCCCTCTACTGACTGTTTCCTTCTTCCTCAGTATTCTTCTCTTTAAATGTGTGGTTTAGAAAAAATGCAAAGAAGCTAGGTCTGGTTCATTTCTCCTGTTTCTCTGCTCAGCTGTGTCACAGTACCTAATTAAAATTTGCAAGTTATTTAGTGACTCCTGTGTAGGACATCATGTTCTCTCTCTCCTCTCTGTCCTACTATTGCTTCACCTTGTTTTAGAGCCAGAGGGTTCCATATACACTCTCCACAGGCCAGAATTGGAGTCAGAGTTGGCAAGTTATGTCAATTCTAAAATATCTGTCGTCTTCTTTTTGCCAAATTGTTTTTCTCAAGAGCAAAGAACTAAGACTCAGTATCACTCATATGTGGGTGAACAGGCGTACTGCACAAAGAAGTGAGTAGAGAGGAAGCTGGCAGTTGAGAGACGGGCTCTGGAGGAAGAGACTGTCTGAAAAGTTAATCAGACATCACAACGAGAGGGGAGCCTTCCATCACCTGGTTCCTGTCTTTCTGTGCCATACCCTGCAGATGCAACCAGCTCAGACTCAAGCTCAGATGAGGAGTTTTTCATACGATCTCGTGGAAAACACAGAGGACGCAGAGGACAACCACCTTCTCCTATTGATGAAAACGAAGATGAGGAGGCTCCACCAGGGCCACCCCCACCAGGGCCACCTCCACCAGGGCCACCTCCACCAGGGCCACCTCCACCAGGACCACCTCCACCAAGACCACCCCCACCAAATGATGAACCTCAGCCAAGGCCACCCCCACCAAGTGATGAACCTCAGCCAAATCCACCCCCACCAGAGGAGCAACCTGAGCAGAGTCCAGATGAAGACTCACCATCCGAGTAATCTGAGAGTCATTGACAGGTATGACTCCAGCTCACTCTCCATCAAGGGCCCTAACCCTACAGGTCTCACACTTTAGTGAGTCACTGAATCAGCAGAAAATGCGTGAAAATTGCATAGTCCTGGACACAAGTTTTAAAGGTTTCTATTCAGATAGTCTGAAATAAGGTAGCAAAATGTCGTATTTATTACAAGCTATCCAAGGTGATTTCAATTTTGAGAAACAAGGATCATACATTGCCTTTTCTCCGATGACCACCTGTCCTAAAGTGGTCCGGTGATGAGGAAGTGCACCATGTTCTCCCTTGTCCTTTTCTCTCCTCCTCCTCTGGCTCAATGACCCTCTCCTCTCAAGTTTCCACCTGACAGGCATCTCACGTCCAGTGTCCCTACTGAATGATAATTCAATTTTATGTTGCTAAATTTATCTGGCTAAAATATTTCCTTTTCAATTAGTACATGGTCAAGGTAAAAAAAAAAAATAACTGAACAGAAAAGTATTAGGCTAACTATGAAAGGCATCTTGACCCTACCTTCCCACTTCCTCCCCCAAGGTCCATCACAGTTAACTCTTGAACATCCTCTTGGAAACACTTATACCATTTAAAACATAACTATACATTTTGTCCAAAAATGATGTCTTACTTTATGCAGATTAATAGGTTGCTTATTTCAAATAACATAGTTGTTAAAAATATTTGTAACATTTATTTGAGTTATATGGGTCCATTTAATCCTCATTTTGTTTACTTTTTAATTTTCCTAATCCACTGTCTGCCTGTGCCATGATTTCTTTAACCAACTCTGTATCAATGGACATTTAGGCCAGTTTCAGTTTTTCACTAGTTAAAAATTGATTGCAGTAACCATCTTGTGAATATATATTTGAACACTTTAAATAGCAACCAAGAGATAAACAAGCTAAGAACAACCTTTTATCTTGAAAGCAAGATTTAAGACCACGTTATGTATTAGGTGCATAAAAATGACAAATCAAAAGAAATTTGTAAGGAAATGGGAAAGGGAAGAAGAAAAGGGAGAGAGGGAAGGGAAGGGAAGGGAAGGAAAAGGAAGGAAAGAGAAGGGAAAGGAGAGGAGAAGGGAAGAGATGTGGAAGAGAAGGGGAATGTGGGCTCTTAGCTACTTCCCTTCACTGTTATCTGCAAGGACTGGAAACCACTTGCCCACCTTGTGAAAACCGTCTCTTTTGGTTTTCAGAGCATGACTATGAAGACAGCTGTCCTTCAGAAAGCCATGACAGTGGAAGAAGGCAGTCTGTCTTCAGTTTACCAATAAAATAATCAGCATCCAGTTTCTAAGTGTTACGTCTCATTCTGGGTGTTTCTGAGTCTGAAATTTGAGGGCCATGAACATCCAAGATCAGTTCCAACTGATGCTTCCAGCAGCCTTCCTCCCGGACTGTCTTCTTAGAAGCCATGGTCTCTTTGTTCTTTGCTTGGGGACCAGAATGTGTATCTCCTTTCTACCTCCTGGTGCCTCCCCCTTCCACCTGACACCTTTATTCAGAAGCCAGGTGCCTCTCCTGTCCTTCTCTGGTTTCTATAGCACTAACGTGATTTTTTTTTATTATTTTCACACCTTTCTAACAAGTTTAGGGAAATAGAGAAACTATTGCAAATGTGAAGAAGTGGCAAGAGCTGAGGGAATCCTTAAAATTTCCAAAAGAATTGATCCTGGTTTCTAGGAAAATAAATGTGATTCTAGGTCCCTATTCCCTCAAGCCCATTACCACATCCCCCTCTTTTAAATCATTTCTCAGTTTTTTTTTTTCTAGATCTTCCACCTTTCTAAAACAAAATGTGAGTCAGTTTCATAAAGGAGATGACATGTTGTTTCTAAAAATCAAGGAAAATTTGGGGTTCTTCAGACATGAGTTTATTTTACCTGCTTTTATAAGCTCTGGACTTTTAGCAAGCTACTTCAACTCACAGAGCCTTAGTTTCCCTATCCATGTAGTGAAGATCATATTAATACCTACCCTAAGGCACAAAGAATAATAAATACCACACATAAAACCTAGCAGAGGGACTTCCCTGGTTGTCCAGTGGCTAAAACTCTACCCTCCCAATGCAGGGGACCTGGTTCAATCCATGGTCAGAAAACTCGATCCCACATGCAGCAACTTTAGATCCCCATGCTGCAACTAAGATGCAGCACAGTCAAATAAATAAAAATAAATATTCTTTTTAAACACTGGCAAAGATTGCCTTCACCACTCCCTAATAATTATTATAGGGAATGCTAGTACATGTGAAATTGTAAGAAATTAAATATTTCCCAAATTAAACGGTTCATGTTGCTTTGTCAGAAGGTCAAATTACAATATTTTCTGACAACACCTCTTCCAAATTCAAAATACAATGAGAGATGCTTTGCTTTCTGGTAGCACTTTCTAGTGTCTTTTCATCTGTGTGATGCTATTTTTGATACTGACTCTGTCATGGTACATTGATAACTTCCACTCACTTCCATTTCTTACAAAGTTGGAAAATATTCCTGGGTTAAAAGACACTCTTACAGTGAGCGTTAAAAAAATCAATATTTAAAAAGAAACCTGACATTGAGGTTGCTGACATCAAGTGAAAAAAAGAATGTTGGATTCCATCAAAGTCTCCCCTACCTTGAAATCACATCAAATGAGAATCTGTCTAGGATGGAAAGAAGCCCATTCATGAACATCTCTGCAAAGACTGACAAATCTTATGCACTAGAAAGAGGGGATCTCAGGAATAGTCCTTCACAGCCAGATTCATCCTAAATCCAGATCTAGTCACTATACTTCTGTGAATGAATGATGAGTATGATTTTATTTTCCTACCTACAAGTTCAGACTATTATGTTAAACAGAAGTTAACTGAAAGAAATATTTTAGTTAAACTGCTTCTTGAGTTTTTCATTTTTAAATGTAATATATAACTTCTCACAGTGGATTGTAGCTTTGGATTTTTGATTCTGATTTTGGCATCTACTAAAAGTAACAGAACTTTAAGCTTTCTGTAAGCAAAATGATAAATACATTCCCTAATTTCAAAAAAGTAGAAAGTATTTAATCATTTCCTTTAAATATGGCATGTATTTCTTTCTATATTTAAAAAATTTTTGTCTAAAAAATAATACTCCCCGCCCCCGCCCACTGACAAACACACACACAGGGGTGAGGTATTCTCAGAGGCTGCAGCATGGGCACCAGTGGTCACAAAAGTCTTTGAAGATGTGGCGGCTGTGGGGTCTGGTACCCCGAGACTCACTCCTGGACCGCTAGAGGACGCTTAATCACCAGAACCCTGGTGGGTCCCCCACCCTTAGTCCACCTTTCAGTCCCACAGAAGCACTTCAAGTGATGCCAGTTTGCACCTGGACTGGGATTCTGCAGTGTGGGTCTCAGTAGGGCCAGCGTGCGCCTTTGCAGTCAAGGCCAGGAAACAACCACACTGCCTCAGGCTCATCTGTCTGCAGAAGAGGTGGGGGACTCTGAAACTATGATAGAGCCCACGTCTCATCACCCCAACCCCCACGGTGGGTGGGTCCACTCGCAAGACAGGCACTGGGGCTGTTGGCCGAGAGTGCCAGGGTTTGAGAGGACCCAGGCCGGCCCACACTCTGAGGAAGGTGAGGGAGACGGTGGGCAGGTGGGGGTCCGCAGCCCACCTTCCACACACCACCTCCAGGTGGGCAGGAGAGTCAAGGGACCCGAGGACAGAAGGAGAGCCACCTGCTTCCCCAGACATCCATCACTCCTGTGGCACGGCCTAAGCCCAGCCCTGGAGAGCACGACATCACCACATCCAGCATTTCTGCAAGTCTTAATAAGGCCTTCATCAACTGCAAGTGTTCTACCCAGCTCTGACTTTCATGTAGTGTTCCTACTGAAAATGGCATAAAGCATAGAGAACCCAATTAATCCAGGTTAGAAGAAGCTAAGGTGGAAAATCTCCACTCCTCACCCCCACAAGTCTCCAGCTGTGGACCTAACACTTGTAACGCTGATCTGTGACAGACAAAGAGGCTCCAATAGGGGTTGAATATGATTTATTTCAGCCAGTCTTCCAGCCTCAGGAAGACAAATTAATAGGTTTTCACAGGACCCTCAGTTGTTTCACAAACTATGTGCTGCTTTCTTATTGAAGAAATTTCAAAACTCCACTTTTTAGAAATGGTTCAAATGTGTTTCACAATTAGCACCTTTTTTACCACCAAGATAATTTTGGTTCCAAAACCAAGAAGCCCCACTAATTGGCTCATGTGGAAAATAAAAAAATGGAATATCAAATAAAAGGAACATGGAACATGAGTGGATTCAAAGGCTCAATATTTTCAAAAGGCTTTAATCAGCCATGGGTGTACATGTGTCCCCCATCTGAACCCCCCCTCCTACCTCCCTTCCCATCCCATCCCTCAGAGTTGTCCCAGTGAACCAGCCCTGAGCTCCCTGTCTCATGCATCAAACCTGGACTGATGATCTATTTCACATATGGTAATATACATGTTTCAATGATATTCTCTGGAATCATCCCACCCTCGTCTTCTCCCATGGAGTACAAGACTGTTCTTTACATCTGTGTCTCTTTCACTGTCTTGCATATAGGGACACATGTACACCCATGGCTGATTCATGTGAATATATAGCAAAAATCACTATAATAATGTAAAGTAACTAGCCTCCAAATAAAATAAATTTAATAAAAAAAATAAAAGGCTTTAATTAATCAGTATTCCCATGTGACTTTACTTAATCCACCAGACATATTGACAGCTGCGCATCATTCTCTCTTTGGCCCAGTTACTTCCTTTTTTCTGTACCTATTAGTAATTGCCCTCCGCTCTTCCCCAGTAGCATATTGGACACCATCCAGTCCAGGCATCTTATCTTCCATTCTCATATCTTTTTGTGTTTTCATACTGTCCATGGGGTTCTCCAGGCAAGAGTATTGGAGTGGGTTGCCTTTACCTTCTCCAGTGGACCACATTTTGTCAGAACTCTT